ATCTATCTATCTATCTATCTATCTATCTATTTATTTATTTATTTATTTGATTTATACCCCGCCTATCTGGACTACTCGTCCACTCTAGGCATCAGATAGAGTTAGTGAGAGAAATGTAAGAGTCTGGCAGGAGAGAAAAGCCAGACGGAGTAATAGAGTGTGTGGTTGGGAAACTTAGATGTGATTAGCTACTGAAGATATGTATGAATCTCTGTAATCAATAAACCAAATTTTTATTTAAAAGAACTTGAAGTGTGGACCTGAATCTTTCTGAAGTAAATGGTGATTTAGAGATCACCTGGTGGCAGCAAGCGTAAAAGGAGAAGGTGTTTGCCTTCATGTGCTCAGAGGCTTGAAGGTCAAGAAAGGGGCACGAGGTTGGATGCCACAATTGTTGTCCTGGTAAGGTAGAATATGGTTCATTTTCTGTGAACCATATTCTGCCTCTGAGATAAAAAATTTAAGTCAGACATTTTTTGGATGACTGGAGTACCAATTTGTATAAATGGCTTAATGAGAATCTTTCATTATTTATTTAGTTTATTTCTATCCACCCATTTTGCAAAATGGACCCAAGGTAGTCATACTAAACTGTTTGGAACAAAAATACTGTTTATCAGGGTTTATTTGGAAAACTCAGATTTAAGTTTCACCACCTACCAGACTATGTTTAAAAAGGTGTGGCTTTAGGCTTCAACATGAGCCACTCATTTGCAAAATATGAACAGGGACCTACCACACAAAGTTGTGTTAAGATTTAGGTAGGTTGTTCACCCTCCCTGCCTAGTCTATCAAAGAAATTAATTACATTGCTTTTAAAGCTCCATGATATGTCACTGGTTGCCTAGGGCCAAAAGGAAACACCTCCATCTCTAGAGAGTTCTACCTTAGGCTACTCCTGGGTGACCTAAAATATTTTAAATAAATTCATCTCTGTGGTAGAGAAAGGCTGTTTTTCTCTACAGCAGGGAACCACTGTTTTTTTGCCGAAACCACATTTTCACTTAGTGCTGAAATGTGGCCACCACTGGCACCATTCAGCCCTCCAAGTAGACTTCATTCCACAAACAGAAGCAAGGAATAAGAACTAAATCTTACCTTCAAAAACCTGCCAACACTGTGATTTGCATTATTTGTCTCTTCAAGAGCATCCCTGTGCTTCCAAACAACATGATCTGATATGACCATTATGACTGTATCTAGCTCATTTTGGAAGGACTCTGGAAACCTCTCAGTGCGAGGCATCTGTACAGAAAGCAGGAGATCTACTTAAATTTTAGGATTGAAATATGGCAGCATGCAGGATTGCAAGGTTATCCTTTATCTGTCCACAATGCAACAGCTTAAGACCACAGTGATGAAAACTCCCAATATGTGAGTTGTACGGGTGAAGTGGGTGGAATTACTCCTGAATAAGCAATATAGAACTTATTCTCACAGCATTATGAGTACAGTAGGGCCTTGTAGCATATAGTAGGAAAGCTGGTGCCATGTGGAGATCTTGGGTGAAATTTCTGTTGCTTAGCATAGTACGTTGCACTAGAGTAGGTGCACTGAATCAGTGAGGCGTTGGTGAGTCAACTCCTCTATGAGTTCCACTGCTTCAAATGGGCCTACTCTAGTTGCATCTAAAGCAGACCCATTTGAATCGACTTATACAGAAAATGATTCAATAAATCCCCACTGATCCAATAGGCTTACTCTAATGCAGTTTACTGTGATAAGCACAATCTTTCAATCTTTGTATGATTTACCTGACTAGGATTTGAGAAAGTCAGGTTCTAGTCCACAGTGAGCTTTGAAACTCATCAGTTTACCTCCAGTCACTCTTTCTCAGCCTTACCTACTTCAGAGTCATAAAACTGGGTGACTGGGGAGGAGGATCTGGTGACACAGTGGTTAAACTGCAGTATTGCAGCCAAGACTGTCCTCGCAACCTGAGTTTGATCTCCATGGGTTCAGGTAGCTGGCTCATGGTTGACTCAGTCTTCCATCCTTCCGAAGTTGATAAATGGAGTACCCAGCTCACTGGGGAAGTGATGTGTAAACTGCCCAGAGAGTGCGTTAAAAGCACTTTGCAATGGTATATAAGCAGCACACTTTGCTTTATATAAGCAGCACACTTTCAGGAAGACTGCCATGAACACTATTTTAAACTCACTGGAGGAAAGGGAATAAATGGAAGTAATAAATAATAAACAGAACATTTATGTCAGGCCCTCCATGTGGATCAACTTTCTATATTTACAGAAGTGCAGAATTACATGTCTAGAAGGATGAAAAGGCTATTCTGTCAGTTTCCTATGGGGATTCACTTAGAGCACGTTGGGTCATTGGGCCACCAACACTCTGGCTTGAATTGATTCAGCAATGTTGCCACATCACCACCTTGTGCCTAGTGGGATTCGGATTGTGATGGTGCCAGGATGTAGACCTCTTCCTACCCCTCACCGACCGCTTTTAGAAGCTATGTTCTCTGCACACCTTCCAGCAGACTTGGATGCTGGCTGATATTATTGGAGAAGAGAAAAAGAGAAGACTGAGGGAAGTTAACATGCAGCTTCTTTTAACTTGCATATTAATTAACTTCTTTCTGAAAAGCTCTCTAAGATGAAAAAAAGAAATGACATGATAGTCTAATGAAATACGTGGGACTGGAGTAATCAGGGGCTTGAATCTGACAGACTGAAGCTCGGATTATGCCATGCCTGTGCAGGATATTTGCAATTATCTCCCCATGTGAGGGAAATGGAGCATTTACTCCCATTGCCCCAATTCACTGATAAGGATTTGACTCTCTGTAGACTCTTTGCTTAAATTGCACGGTGCAGCCCTTCCCTCACAGTCTCACTATAGAGCAACCTTGGCTAACTTAGAGCACTCCAGCTTGTTGGCCTGCAAACTCCTGCAATCCCCCAGACCGCCTTGCTGGCTGGCTGATTCTGTGAATTTTCCAGGTTAATACATCCCAAAGGGCACTAGATGTGGGAGGCTGCTATAGAGTACTGATTAAGAACAGGTTGATTTCAAGGAATTATATGTCTTTTTACCCGGCAGGAAATTTGAGACTTTAACCTGACAGTCAGCCATATCTTACACAGAAAATGCTTTGGATTTGGTTAAATCTGTCTAGCAGACAAGCTCAGTAAAAGAAACAAAGGACAGCTACATATGTTATTTGTTTGGGAAGGATGCCAGAGACTCACAAAGCCTCCTATGCAAATGAGAAAGCAGCCCCAGCATTGCCAAAAGTTACAGTAAATGTACACTTAATTGTTCATTTCTGTTCTAAAAAGAAACTCACAAATCTCAAGGTTGATTGAGAAATGGCAGCTTCCTAAAATAACATAAGAATTTCATTGATGAACTTGATTAAATACAATACTGAAATACTGTATGTGCCTCTTAAAAGTTTGATGCTTGATAATGTGGAGGAATACATAATCTTACCTTAACTCTCTTTGTATCAATCAAATGTTGTGCCATTGATTTCAATATAATTGCAAAAAAGAACCAGGAGTGCTGTGAAAATTAAAACAAAACAAAACAAGGAAAGAGATATTATCAAGTCAATAAGATTATTTTCTATTTCTTTCCTTTTTTAAAAAAACACTACCTCTTGCATTACAGTTTTCTTTATAAGTTAGAAAACTTGCTCCATAATCTAGTTAAAGAGAAAGATCTACTCCAAAATATCTTTCCAGAAGTTTTACAAAACAAAATTTTCAGAAAGATTCCAGTGCCACCAGATGGCATCAAGCTGTTTCTAGAAACGAAGCTAGTAAGCTCCTGACATTAGAAGAAAAAAATATTTTCCATCTCATAGGCAGGGATCTAAATGTATTTCTGCCTCGTGTTCTTGTATATGTGAAAGTAATAATGTTAGGAACAGGAGCCACTCCTGCATTAGAGAAAAGAGCTTTAAAACCTCCTGAAAAACTGCTAAGGGAAGCTGTCAAAAGACAACGAGAGAGGTGATGCTGAGGGATGCAGAGAATACTGTGTTTCACCACTTCTTCTAGCAGGAAACCCCTGCTGGATCTCAATTCCCTCTACAAACTGTAATAATTCTTCCATTATCAAGCAGCAAATTTGGAATATGAGAGAACAGCAGGCTATCTTGATACATCACAAAGTCTGCCAGTGTCTGTGCAAAGTCTTGCCTGCAACCTAAGAACAAGACAGGGAACATTTCTTTCCATCAGTGTTTCCTTAATTTATGCAAAATATCTCTGCACCATTTCTTTTTATAAACTAAGTGCACAGATAGCAAGTTCAGAAGGATAAAAAGGTGTGAACAATCCTTCTAAACTTTTAAAGTTTGTGAAAACTGTTAGAATTTAAACATTTTAACACAAAAATTGTTCCTGCAAATTTAAGAGTGTGAGTGCCAGAAAATATATCAGAGGCAAGGAGAAAAAAAAATTGTAATTTCTCTTTCTGAACAAATGAACATTTATATCCTTATCTGGATCCAGAATTTCATTTAAAAAGAAAAAACCTGAAGCTACATTCATAATGTGCCATTGCAGAGAATGTCATACATTTGCTGTTGCTGTTGTTGAAATAAATGAATTTCTATAAAACACTGTTCTAGCATTCTTAAACTATATAGGTCTTAGATATGAGAAAAGGAGTGGAGGACTAGTGCAGTAACTCGGCCTCCCCATCGCCACTTTTCTCACTGCCCTTTTCATGCAGAGAGACAATCTGCAGTGACAATGACATTTTATTAGGCAATAAACATTGACTGAGTGATCATCTATGGCACACAGCCTCCTCTCTCCATAGAGAGGGTCCTCCTATGGTTTAGAACACTGGTTCTCAACCTTGGGTAACCCAGGTGTTGTTGGACTTCAATCCCAGAAGCCTTCTCCACCAGCTATGCTGTCCCAGATTTCTGGGAGTTGCAGTGTTGCAGTCCAAGAACATGTCAGTTACCCAAGGTTGGAAATGGGGATGGGCAACTTACCCTCTAATTTTCAGTCCCCCCCCTCTCAACTTCACCCCTGCGTGCTCGTGTGACTCCACCTCCCACATGCAGCATTACGACATGACTGGAACCTAACACAATTGCTGCACAGAGGAGGAAGAGAGTTGAGTGCAGGAAGGCAAAGACATGCACAAGCCCGGCTTAGAGGGAACCTTGGAGATCGGTACTTAGTGGTTCACTGGTTCAGCAGACTGGGTCCATAGGTATTGCATGGGCACCCTGGATTCTGTGCCCCACCTCTTTCCATGTGTGCCCCATCAGAAGCAGCACTGCAGGCTTTGCTACCCCACCTCACCCTCTGAGTGGGCACCCACAGGATGAGGCGGAGTGCGGAATCCAGGGCACCTGTGCCACACCTGTGGGCTTGATCTTCTGAACTACCCTGCACCACTGAAATGCAGTAAGTGCCCATCTCTCTTTGGGAACTACTGGTTTAGAACTCTGAAACAGTCACAGACAAAGGATACTCTCTACTGCAGATATTTGGCTTCTGTATATACTGTAGATGGTAATGGCAATGATGATAAAAGAGACCTCAGTTTCCTGCCAGTACATGTACAACCTATGTGCCTGACTAAATTTTGAACATGATGAGTGATAAATGGAGATCTGCATCGCAAATCCTCCAAAACAAAACAAAAACAATCTGAATAGAAATATCAAAGCTTCAAATTCTATGTTTCAGTTTTAAATCTTCATAGAACTCGTGGCGTCTGGAGTTAATTTCAGATTGTCCGTATTTTGAGGTCCATCCAAAACACCTGGCCAAAATCCTTTTGCCAATTTACATAAGCATATGAGAATGGCATAAGTCTTGGCGGCAAATTGCTGCTTATTAACAAGGTGCCGATTGCATTCTTTGGTGCAATCCCAATCCCAGGAGCATCCAGGAATGCAGCAAGCACCTCATTAATGAAGGGCAATTTGCTGCCAAAATGTATGCGATTTCCCCTATGTAAATGTAAACTGGCAGCAGGATTCAGGCTGACAATCAAATGTCATTTCTCCTTGTTCATAAACATTAAGTGCATAAACCAAATCCAGTATGAATTTCTGTGGACATGTGGCATATCTTCTTAAGCATGCTGTTCCACTAGTGTAATCACTTCCACACCCTTGAGGAAAGTGTAACACTGTGCTACATGGGGCAGATGCAGAATGGCAGCTTGTTGAAAGCAGATGTGTGGCCCTTCAGGCCTTACTATTGGCTATGGGAGCTTCAACATGTGGTGGGTCAAACAGTTCCCACCCTTGACACAGAAAATTGGAAACTGACACAAACTTTCAATTTTAAGGAAAAAAATTACCTTTAAAACATGTTTCACTGTCCTCTGTTCATTTGACTTCAGAAGGCCTGTCATGTTTTTAGCCAGCTCCTCATGAACAGTTCTTTCTTCAAAAGACTTGGTTTTGAAAACATACTAAACAGGGGTGGAATGAGGAGGGAAGCATGATTTCACAGTTTTAAAATGCAGACAGTTGTTGGTAGGGAAAAGGCTAGTCTTCATATGACATTGATATGTTTTTATATCAGAGAGAAATAACAGGGATGAGGGGTCCTTCATATAAAATTTAAGTTTTAAGTGGAGTTTCTTACACTGGGTCTATATGTCTCCTTTACCAATAGAAGCAGGAAAAATAAACACACCAAATGAAAGAGCCTTCGGGTTCAGGAGAGTTATATACAGCCTGGTTTGATACTCAGTGCAAGATTGATTTGATTCCTTTGCTGCCTGAGACATATTGAGACATACGGTGCTTCCCCACATACTGAAGTCAAGCAGAATAGTATCCACATTGTTCTGGCTCCTGATGGAGAAATCCCTACAAGTTCCTCTCTCTAAGTTCTCATTGGTAAAATTAAAATAATTACTGAACAGAGAACATTTTACTGCCTGAGCCAGCCACCTTATTTTGCCTAATGATAGGGCTGGGCTTGACTGAAAGATAAGAATGAGGTGAAGTGTCCTTAGTGTTTCCTTAGACAACTAGACTAAAAACTCCTGGGTTAAACATTGTTAAGCTTCAAGTTAAGATCATGGCTTGTTCACAAGACTACAGTGGTTCATTGATTAAAATCAGACAATGAAACAGTGTACTGCAGTCTTGTTTACAAGTCATGCTCTTAACCTGAAACTAAACAATATTAAAACCAATCAATGAAGATAGATTTTATCATGTCAAGAATAAAAATTAATTGTACATCATTGCTCTGTTTTTCCCTCCGAAAAGAGGCTACATTTTCATAACCACTTACATGGAACTATGACCCACTGAACTCAATGAGACTTCCTTCCGATGAGAGGTATACACTAGTGTGTAACAGAAAATGAAAGGGAAATAACTGAAGATGGCCCTTTTTACTAGCAGCTGATGGTCTGAATGGGATTCCATATAACCCCATTACTGTGAGATGAACGCCTCGCTCTGCCAGGCTGGCTCTAATTTTTAGAGTTTTCAGCAGTTCATTGAGATAGCTAAATTAAGATCCAGCACTATATAGATCTTTTAAATGAGGTTGATAATTTTGTCACTAATCAGGATAAACTGAAGTTAATCATTAAACACTTCAATTATTTGATAGCTCTGCATGGGATGATTTTAATATAGAGCACTTATACTGACAAGATAGCGGCAGGTTGCTAAAAAAAGAAGAGAAGTACTGCAGCTTTAATAGTTGTACAGGGGGGAACTTCAGCAATAAACTACATGAAGACTAAATTTGCTGAGACTTCCTCTGTATTGCAATCCTACTCAGAAATAAAATCCACTGAGTTTAATGGAGCTCAATTTCAGGTTGCAATCCCATATCAACTTACTTCCAAGTAGACATAAACAGGATTGTGTTTACATCCTGTAGGTATCTGTGGGACCTGCCCCTTTTTAACAAAATCAATAAAATGCTGAAGCATTTAAAAAAAATGCTGGGGAAAGAACAAACTTTTGAGGGATTTTTTTAAAAAAATCACTATTTTTACAAGGAAGTTATTACCTATCAAAAAAAGAAAGAAAGGAAAAGAAACATGTCTCATCTGCATCAAAATATCTATTTTATATATGACTTAGTTATCAAAGTAGTTAATTGTTGGTGAAAAAAAACCTTCCTGGAGATTTAGTAAAAATTCCTACATTTAGGGGAAGTCAGGAAAATAATATTGAGTTTTTGGGGTGGAGGGGTTCTTATAAAAGCTGAAGGCTTTTTTAAATATAGTAATGAAGAAAAACAGCAAAACCTAAACTTTTCTAGTGTGACAAAATAAACAATGAAATGTTAAAAATATACATTAATATATTGAAGCACTACTCATGCCAGCATGGGATTGTCAACATCTGCAATTTTCTTGGCCATGCACCATATTTGTCATCTAAACTTTAGCTATTATCCAGTGTGAAAATGTATGAAATGTATTGATGAGCACATTCAACCTTTAATTTTGCTCTGAGGTAAGTGAAGAGTGAGCAAACCAATGATTCAGCCCATGCTGTTTCTAACATAATAATCCGACAATATTACTAGCAACGAGGTATTAAACAATTACACATTATTTTGTAAATTATAACTGAACAAACACTTCACCAAATCTTCAGATTTAAATCAGTGTCAGCCCACAAGCTTAATTTGCCTAATGGAATGCAAGTTGTTAAAAAAAAAGGAATTCATGTGTACAGTGCACGTTACTAAACAGCACAAAGTGTCAATGACAGTGAAACTGTTCATTAATAAGCCTCTTGCCACACACTTCTGTTGGCTGGAACTTTACATTATAGAAAATGCAATGGTACTACAGCAACCCCATGCCTTTCTTCTCTATCTTGGAGGGTGAACCTAAGGCATGGTGTGACATCATAGAGCATGATGACACCACCCTAAGAGTATTATTATTCTAATCAATTTCAGATAAAGAGTGAGAAAGGGTGTGTACCCCTTGGCCGCTTGGGATATAAATGAGGAATTGAAAGAAACTGTTGGATTACAGTGGTCATTTCTGAACACTGCCTATGGTGGCTAGAACTCACAGAAATTGTAATTCAACAGCATTAGGAGGCCACAGGTCTAGAGATTTGAACTAGAGATTTCATTAACCCAGGTGAATTCTGAGATGCCCGATTCACAGTTCATTCTCTTAGCTACTATTCTGACTAGTACCAGCTATTCTTTATAATATTGGTCTATTTGGAGTTGTGTGGAGCTTGAATTCTCATGCATAGTCATTTATGTTGCTTAAAATTTCACGTAGGGTATTGTCGTTTTGATCTCCTCCCACACTAAACTGAGCTTTCAACATTCACTTTAAAAAAAAGGACATGAATTCAACCCAGTCTAATACAATTTTATTTTAAAAAATTAATCAAAGGACACTGAAAAAGGAAAACAAAGAGGCCTCACTTACTAGGAGTAAGCCTCAATAACTCAGCAAAACTTAGTTTTGAGTACATTTACATCAGATTGTGCTGTGAGAGATACTGATGGCAAAATGGTCTTTGCTTTATTGTAACAAAATGATTACAGATTAAGTTTATTTAATGCCACTTAGATTTCTAGCTACAAAGCCAAGCAGAAAAGAATTTATAGTCAGACACTTAACACTCTTGCTGGCACATCTGCCTACAACAACCATCTTTCTCCTTGATCCTTGACATTAGTAATACAAAATGTAGTAAATCTCACCTTAGGCACTGGAACAGTTAAGTGTCGCTATTATTACTGTATTATTGTCTTCACATGTTTCAGCTAAGATGATTTCCTAATTTCATTTGCATACACATGCATATTGCTTGAAGGGTGCATTTTAAGATGCATGTTTTCATATTAGGCAGCTATCACATACCACACATGAACCTCTTACACTTTTCAAGAGAGCCTCTTAAAGTAATCAAGTGAAAATTCACTGAGTAATAAGTATATAAATGTCTAAATCAGCCCCAACAACTTTAACAAATACAGCATAGCTGCAATTTTTTTCCTAGAAGTCAGGGATGGGTCATCATGGTCTTCATCTATTTTATTTATTTTTCTAACATTGCCTCAAATAGTCCTCAGTTTTCTACATTTATTTCTTTACTATTCCTTAGTTTTCTACAGTATATTTATTTCATTACTAAGAATGTACGAAGATCCATGCTGGATTAGAACACAGATCTATCTTGTCCACCATTTTATCCACATAAGGGAGCATGTCTTGCATTCCCTAGCTACTGATATACAGAGCACACTTTGCTACTGCTCCAATACTGGAGGAAAGAGCCATCTCATGGTTAGCAGTTATTGGTCATACTAACCTGGATAATATAATGAAATCCCTCTTTAAAGACAAAAGTACATAATTCAATAGTTTAACCATTCTCTGTGAAGAAGTATGTTCTTGTATCAGTCTTGGATCTCCCACTTTCTCAACACCCTCACTGGCTAACCCTAGGTTCTGGTTCTATGAGGGAGGGAGGGAGGCAGGGAGGGAGAAAAGCTTCATCTGATGTACTTTTTTTCACACCATGCATAATTATACACCTATATCATGTCACATTTTCCTTAACCCTAAAAAGTAAAAACTTTCCTCACAGGTGAGATACTCTCATCCCTAAGGCAAATGATTTTTAAACTTGTCCTTTGAATCAATCTGCCTGAGCCTTGACAACTGTCTGAGAATAAAAGTATTTTTTGTTTCCATAACTATGCAGCAGAACGTGCAACTTAGAAATAGTTGGTATGAATGTGTTAAGTAGATCTTGTTTCACATTATAGCATGTCACATAAAAGAAACAGGAAAACATCAGTTCTGCATACAGTATTATGCATCTATATTCCAATCTCATGAGGGACATGTACAGTTGTGCATAAAAGTTCAAAAATCGTCAGCCTGGAAGGCACCCAATATATCCTTTTGTTTTAGCCCCAAACTAATCTTTTAGTTCCATATGTCCTATTATCCATTACCTATGGAAGGGCATTTTATCATTACAGCATTTCCAAGAAGTACTTATTCAATGTGTTATAAACAAACAAAAACATTCTGAACTACCCGGACAAATATATTCCACCTGATTTTTTTTCCTTGGTTAGCTTTACATAATTCAAAAGAGCTATTCTTTAATCTATCTTCCTGTGATTTAAAATTATTGCTTCTTCCCCCTTTTGTAACTTTTTGTGATAATATAATGGGGGGGGGAAATATCTTGATGAGGAAAAAGTAGTAATTATTATCTTCTCCAATATGCTGATATACACAGTCAACAAATTTGTTATAGGTATACATGCAGGAGAGCAACAGTTCTGTGCTCCATCAGCTTCACCCTTGAGTCTTCATGCAGATAATGAAAAATGCATATGATATGATATGCAGATATCTGGTTTCCTATGTAAGGTTTCTGATGAAGCATGATCTCTATCCCAACCAAGAAGACGTGCGTGAGTGTATGAAAAGACAGTATATACATGCATATCTTGTACATGTTACAGAAAATAGTTGAAGGAAGACCATACTCTTGTTCACTGAACATGTTGGGGATATCTCTGCTTCTAAACCTATCCCTTTCAGTCAATTAGATTAATGAGAGCTGGAGTAATATCTTTTCAGTAGTCAAGCTACAGGTATGTGAGTCCCTAATCTGGAAGGAACATTTGTTCAGTGTCCTGTTCACTGGCAAGCTAAGAACCTACTTCTGCCCTGGGCTGAGAACTACATTTCCCATAAAATATAATTGTGAAATGTCTTGCTCTGTGACCTTCTTTTTAATATTTACAACTTCAGTTGCAATCCTACCCCGTTTCCCCGAAAATGACCTAATCTGGAAATAAGCCCTAGTATGATTTTTCAGGATGCTGGTAATATAAGCCCTATCCAAAAAATAAGCCCTAGTTAAGTGAAGCCCCACCTTACACCACTGTGCAGCATTGGGCAGCAACCAGAAGATGACATGACTATATTTGAATAAATGTAGATTAATTTGTGTGTGTGTGTGTGTGTGTGTGTGTATTTTCGGGGAAACATGGTACATTAATATAATGATATGCCAGGGGCTAAAGAAAGGAATAGATCTTCTTCTCTAAGATCTTAAACAATGTTTGATGAAGTTCTGATCTTGGAGGGGTAAAACCAATTTCAGTTTTTCCTCCAGGCCTCTTCCAACCACTACTGTGTGTATGCTTTGTGTCTATGTGTGTATCCCACCTTGAGTGCTAATACTGGTCCTGCATAGAAGAACCTGCCTTTCAGGTGTTTGATGCTGAATTCCTAACATACCCACCAATTCAGTAACATACTTTAGGGTGAGAACTAGATGGAGGAGGCAGAACAAGCAGTGCTGAATAACAAAATAAAAATGTGTGTGAAAAGTCATGCCAAAAGATTTAAAAAAATTCACATACCATAAGCAGGTACAAAAGCACTGTAATTTAGATAATAAAAAGGATTCTTAAGAAAATAATAAAAAAACCTAAGAAAATATTATAGCACCAGCTATTTCCAAGCACAGAGAAAAGCTTCCAAGACGTTCCTCTTCATTAAAATTTACTACTGATGCACTCATTTCACACACTAGCAAGGTTATGCTCAAAATCCTACAAGGTAGGCTTCAGCAGTATTTGAGCAAACTCCTGGAGGCAGTGGAAGACAGGAGGGCCTGGCATGCTCTGGTCCATGGCGTCATGAAGAGTCGGACATGATTTAATGACTAAACAACAACAACAACAACAACAACAACTGATGTTTGGTTGACTATTTGCAACATCTTAATCCTTCCAAGAAAATCAATGAATAAATTATCAACACATCCCTAACACAATGTTCATGTAAAATGCCATCGTAGACAAAAAACTATTTAAGGTAACAGGAATGATGAAGAGTGACAAAATTGCCCCTACCTTTACATATGAATGGATACAGTGCTCCAGTTGTTCTTCGTGGAACTTGGCAACAATATCAGTGAGTACCCTGTAAAGTAAAATTACAGAGTGGAGACAAATATGTGCTTGTCATCTTCCATATGAAATAATACTGTAAACATGGTTGAGCAATGACCTTGTAGGCTATTGCTGATGGAAACTGGAATTCAACAACAACTAGAGGGTCACACATTACTGAACCCTACATCAGATATTTAACACTAAATTCAGCTATATATGAGACATTGTAAAAAACTGAAAGATCACTTTTTTCAATCAAGACATTTTCTAACTGTTGCGCAACACATAATAAGGGCAATATATGTGGTAATGCAACCAGATGGGTTGGATTCTAGAAGTTTTGCATGCTCTCATTGTATTGGTCTCAGGAGACCAGTGGTGCCATCTGCCTCGGTAGCACTGCAATGAATATTCACTTCTATTCTGTGTTACCTTTGCTTCTAATGTACCATAAAATGTTAGTGCTGCACCCACTAAAGGAACAAAGACAGCTCTGAACTTTCCAGAGCCCAAAAAAGAGGAGCAAAACATTCTGCATCATTAAAACATTACAGAAGGCAGTACCACAGCACCATTCTGTGGACTGTATTCCAAACTTCCCTATTCATTCTGGGATTTGGGCAGATTGAGGTGGGTCCATCCACAGGTATGCCAATACTTTTTTTTTTGTTTATATAGAAAGGCTGCAGCCCTTTTTGGGTTGCAAAACTCTGTTTGATAAATTCAGCGGAAGTGGATCGAAAATTCATGAATATATTTTGAAGTCAAAAGAAGGATACAATCTAGCCATGTTTTTGGTAGAAGTGCATTCTAAAACTGGCCACAGTATCCAAACTCATTTCTTATAGGTGGGCCCTTTTTGTGTAGTGCAAATTCTCATGAAAAACTTGGCTACATGTGCAGAGTTTTCAAAACGAGTCTTAAAATATAACATTGCATTCCTGGTCTTGGAGTAAGACAGCAATGCACAACCTCCTTGGCGTTGAGACCCATGTGTGTGTCATATCCCCTGCCTCCACTGACAGATTTTATAGGAAGGGAAGATCAAAAAGAGGGAGAACTTAAAGCTTCCTCCTTATACCCAGTGTCCCAAACAGGATTGCTGTTTCTCTCGCCTCTTAGCAGAACCAGCCATGGCTGCAATCTGGAGGATTCCAACTGGTATTTAGATGGGTAGGATTTGGCAGGTATATTACAGAGATCTTGGGGATACATGCAGTCCTTTAAGCAGCCGGTTATGCATCCTTGGTCTACGACAACAACAGTATGAACAAAGTAGGTCATAAACATTAGTAGAAAGTGAAAGATACCTGGTCACAGCTGTTGTAACCTGATCCTCTTTATTCTGTACAAGAACCCAAAATAGCTGGTTCAGAATTACAGGGAGAAAATTCACGATTACATGGATCTTCTCTATTTTAAGCAAATTCTAATTAAGAAACAAAACACAATCAATCAGATAAAAGCAGTTGACTACCTCCTGTTTCATGACAGTTGAACACTAATGTAATTTCACTTCGACTAGTGGAGTTATACTTCCTTCTAAAATCAGTTTTACACAAGCTCCCTATCACTTACAACTTTACTTATTTACTTACTTACTTACTTACTTACTTATCCATCCATCCATCCATCCATCCATCCATCCATCCATCCCACCTTTCTTCTTAAGAAGGACCCAAGGCAGCTAGTGGCCATCCATCCATCCATCCATCCATCCATCCATCCATCCATCCATCCATCCATCCATCCATCCATCCATCCATCCATCCATCCATCCATCCATCCATTGTCTTTCTCCTTTAAAAGGACCCAAGGTGGCTTAGATGCTTGAAAGACAATATTTAAAACTAAGAACGATGCGTATAAAGAGGCAGCTTGCATCATTAAAACACAATATCAAAGCTAAAACAATAACTATGCAAAAACTAAAGAGGAACCAAAATAATACCATTCTGAGAGATGGTAAATACAAGAGGTACTAAAGACCCAGTCAAAGCAGTAATGCATAGCAATCCATCTAAATGTTATTCATGTAGGCAGTCATTGAGGGAAAGCTTGCCTGAAGAGAAAGGACTTTGCCTAGTTATAAAGATAAGGTCTTTGCCTGCATACAAAGATGGTGTCATGATATGTAGTTGATCTGTAGCATGAGAGTTCTGAATCTGGACAAGAGTGTTTGAGGCTTCACATTATCCCTGTGAGTCTTAACCAGATCACATTTTCTCAGCTTAACTTGTTTTAAATTTCAATTTCAGAAATCTTCAGTCTGCCAACTCTATCTATTCCAGATTTGGTCCAAGTTGAAACATGACTTAATTACACTTTGGCTGAATCATGTTGTACACGCAGTGTTACCTTTGGTGAGTCTCTACAAGTTGCAAATGATTCAAAATGCAACATTAAGAATGATGGCTGGATCCTTGTCTTTCCTACAAAATTATTACATTGGTCCTAAGAGTTGGTGACAGCCCTGGCTTCCCTGCCCCACCTCCTCTGGATGCTGCCTCTAAGTGGACACTTGTTGGAGGAGGTGTGGCTGGGAAATGCAGAAAACTTGTTTGGCTGAAAACCAAACTGGCGTGAACTGCCACTTCTCTAGTTGTGATACTTATGATTATGAGTGAAAGGGCCTTCTTTGTAGCTGCATCAAGTTTGTGGAACTCTTTCTCCATAAGATTAGCTGTCCTCTTCCCTATGACGCCTTACCATGTGGCAAAACCCCTGTATTCAGGCACCTGTTTGTTTCAATGAATAGAAGTTACTAATTCAATGCCCTGAGAAGTGTACAAACACTAGGGACAAAATCCTGTTGGCAAAAGTTATGGGCATAAGATATCATGCAGAGAGTTTCCCTATTTCTCTTGCCATCTGTCTGTTGCACAGCATGAGAATGGATGCACCATCATTTATTTGAATGGGGGGAGGTGGGGATGCCTGATGAACAGGTGGCTGAAAAACCTGATCAGCGTTATGCAATCACATAAGGCAAGAGGCTTTTGCTCCATGAGAGGGGAATAAACATTTGGCATAAATATCCAACAATGGACAGCCAACACTATAAGAACTGTTATGAGAATAAAATGTAAAGACCCAACCTTAATTTTCCTAAGCTCCTTGGAAGAAGGGATATAAATATTAGAACTTAAGAATGAATATCATGATCTATATATAATGCAAACATCTAACAACTGTAATATTATGTTGTCTCTTTAGCTTTTAATGGAGAGTTAGATAAGTCTAGTTCTGTTAGTGCCAGCAGTATATTCAAAAATGAGCTATGGAAAATGTACCACAAAGGGAAGGGTTTGGTTAATGACCACATTTCCTCATGCTGCTATTTACCCAATGCCCTGCAGCTGTTTGAATGAGGAAAACCCAAAGAGAGTGACATAATGGTTCATATTTAGTTCTGAATATCGTTTTTACAGGCAAAATGTGCTACAGATGATCTTGAATTAAAGTACATCAGGTCAGTCCAAAAGCACTGCTGGTGATGCACTCCAAATAATCCTCTTTACATGATCATAAAAGTGACTTCAGATTTAGTTGTAATGGTCACGCAGAAAGTTACATTTAAAGGTATAGTATGACAATTTAGTTAATTAGAGAAGAACTGCTTAGAATTACTGTTTAAAATAGGAGCAACCTAGACAAAAATCATGCCTCCTAGATATTTTTAAATTGTCCTGAATGGTCATGTAAATAATTGCTTGCCTGAATATCAGTGGTGATTATAATTGCTCCTAGGAGACAATGCAGTTAGCCATTTTTGGGGGGGGGGAACCTAGAACATTTTTCTTTCAACATTTTTATGGGCTACTGACTATTGAGCTCTTTGTTTTAATGCACTTGCACAGGAGTTCTTGACCTTTTGTATCTTGTATCCTACCAATCCTGCTCTCAAATAACTTGGGTCCAATTATGACAGCTGTTTGGCCAATTATGATAAAAACAAAAAGCCCACTTTTCCCAAAAGAAGACATTTGTATGTCCGTAGGCATTGTAGACAGTATCCCATTAAGATTTGATTGAGCAGAAAGTCACTTTGGCCTAATAATGCAGGATCACTCTGCCTGCATAAACATTGTGATTGGCAAGTGGAGGGTAGATTTTATTTTTAAAAAACAATTAAAAACACTGTTGTTTCGGCAGGCCTTCCCCTCAACCAATTCCTGATTTTCCCTCTTTTTTCCTCTCTCCTAGTGTCTGTTCCATCTTTTTAAAACTATTTTAATTATATTGTATCACGCTTGTTGTAAGCTGCCTAGAGTGGTCTTAAGTGACTAGATAGGCAGGATATAAATAAAATAAATAAATAAAATAAATAAATAAATTCACGAAGATCACTACTTTCACAACAGTAATATTTGTGTAATATTACTGGCAAGACTCTCTGCTTATCAGGAGATCATCCAGATTCTATCCAATATTATGTTTATCATGTGTCATATATTTTAATAAGGTGCAGATTGCAGTTGTATTGCTAGAAACAAACACAAACAAAAATATTAATTCTATCAGTAGGTTCATTATTACTGTTATGGCACCAGTAAAACACAAGGACAATAAATTTTAAAATGCAGGATTGCTAGTGATACTTGTTATTGCTTTGACTTGATCAAACAAACAAAAATATTAAAACATAAACATCACTCTTTCATAATTCCTTATTGTGAAAACCTGGTACCTCAGCGGTGCTATTTCAGTGACCCACCAGCAATGCTAAGAAGCACTGGGCTATTACTCTTATTTCCAAGCTGCCAAAGAGCTATTCTGCATGTGTCATCCATCATTCAAAAACAGATATAACACAGTTGCTTAGAAAGCAAATTTAAATTTTTAACTTCCATAGTCAGCAATGCTACAACTTGCTTATAGAATAATTTCATTAAACTTTACCTTGCAGGAGATGATGAAGTTTGAGGTAGGTGGCTGAGAGAGATCCCTGTTCCTTTTTTGGCACTGCTGAAAAAATCTGTTCAAATATGGGTCCTGCAAATAGCCAATATATACAACAGCACTTAATCCAGCCTCACCCATTCTAGTTTGCATTCAGTAAATGAACAGCAGTGTACTAGCACCTAATGAATCTGACAATGAATATCAGCCTTACAGTTATTTCAGCATTGCCTCGTAAATGATTTTCATTCATGACTCATGATTTCTGGCCAAGTGGCTCAGGGCCTGATTTCAGTGCAACTTCCCTTGATGTCCTACAATATTATTGACATTAAAATGCCCCTCATATCTTTTAGGTTTTTGGGTCTCTTGCCCTGCTTTAGATCTGGATTTGTTTGTTTCAAAACTAGAACTGACATTTAGTGATTTCCTGTTCTGACTTCTGCTCAACCTTGGTTTGGGGATAAAAATAACCTCTTGGGACAAAACATGGCAAGGCTACCCCACACCTGCACTCTTTAGGAAACACAACAGCATTCTAAAAGTAAATTCTTTTGGAAGGGTAGTTGTGGGGGTCTGGGGTTGACCTCTGAAATCTGTGGGCCCTCTGAGAGGGTAGGTATGACACCCAAACATCTGGAAGTTATGTATACCATAATATACAACACAATGCATGTTAACTAAAAAAAGAGAGAAAGAAATCTACATATACCATTTATGTTCCTTTCTTACACATGGTCTCCCCATGAGATAAAATGTAAGGACTCTTACCTGAGTGTAAACTGTTGATACAACCAATGTAGACACTTTGAAGAGTGGCCTTCCTCCATCTACCCACTTAATGTCCCCTCCACTGTGCTGTAAACCACGTATTAAAAAGACACACACAAACAAAATTTATTGCATTTCTTAACTTGAAACACAAAGCAGAAATGATCATGGTCTATGTTATATGGACTGGAAGAATTTTAAGGAGAAGGTGAACAAAGTGAATTTGCATTTCCTGAAGTCCCTCACCCAATACTGAGCCAAATTCTTCCCACTAGAAATGTGACACTCTATGTATGTGTTCAACAAACAGGATCAAAACATACTGAGGTTTAAATGGTATGATCTGCTACCTGTGTGCACTTTTGAAAGTACCAAAATCAAGCAATGATGTATCTATTTGCAGATGCCTAGAAGGGAATAAGTTGTCCGTTGTGAAATTATAGAGTTGTTTGAATGTAATGAACTTTTTTTTTTACAAAAACAGCAAAGTGTCTTCATGCTGAGAATATTAATGCTGTATAATAATTATGTTCACCTTGTACCTCATTCCGTCAATTTTGCATCATGATTTCTGAGTGAAAGAAAGACTCCCAAGCAATCTAAAAGATATGTAAAATGTATCATATGAGACAGTGAGGGTGTTCAACCGCTATGTCAACTACCAGAGGAAACCAATAGAGAGATTGTGGTGAAGGCATCAGTGTACCTGGAAGGTAGAATGCATACACACAACTCAAAAATTCTACATGAAACATTGGGGCGGGGGCATGTGCGTGCATGGGAATACTAGTAAGCGAACTGACCATAACATTTTTATCATCAATCCCCTATGAGATCAGATCAAGCATCCAATCAATAGGATGGCCACAATGTTGTTTTGTTACGCCTGCAGAATGCAAACAGCATGACTTACAGTGGCTGCTCATGGGCAGTTAATGAGTCTCTGCTTGGACCTCCTGAAAACCCCAAATAGGACTTTGTTACTTGCCAGTGAGAAGCTACGACAAGTTATATCATTTGCCTTATGTGGGTATAAATATGCCACAGGATTTGGGCTGATAATAATTTAAACCTATAATATGTATTTAAAATTGTAAGATTCTTGTGTGCTTTGATGGGGGAAAATGTCAAAACGCTGCACTATACCTTCCCAGTTGCAGGATCCTGAAGGCTTAGGTAACCAGGAGGCAAACTGGTTGCCACAGGTATGTTATGTTCTTGAGACACTAGCTGGTCATCTTTCAGCAAAGGCAGCCAAGCATATCCCACTGCACTCAAAAACACAGATATTAGTATTAATATTTATGTTTATGTAATAAAGAATACTTACTGGTTAGAGTCCTATTGGGAAATACCATGTGCATAAGGGAAATCTATTTATTTATTACATTTATACCCTGCCTTTTCACACACACAAAAATGTTTGAGGTCTTTTTATAAGCTTCTTAAAGGAACAAAAAGAGTTAACACCAAGTTTAGCATCAAAACAACACAGCAGGTCAGGTTAGATACCCTATGTCAGAGTAAAAAGATGTGGTTTTGCTCCCTTCTCTACTCCTTTCTTAAAACAAGCAGTTTCACAATCTTCTGGCCATTTCTCATGTGTCTACAGAAGCAACCAACTATGCAGCCAAAAGCATGGTCTGAGTATATCTGACTGTGTGACAGATAACTAGAACAATCATGCGCAACAGTTAAACCATATTGGGTTTCAATGCCAAAGACCCAACAGGAATCTTACTGTTGTTATTTAAACAAAAAAGAAGAAAAATGACCAGGAAAACAAGTCTTGCCTTGATCATAATAGTCTTGATCTTACTGTTGTTATTTAAACAAAAAAGAATAAAAATGATAATAGTCTTGGCAATAATCACTATAGGGAAATATTGATAGAAATAATGCAAATATAGTGGTGCCTCACATTACAACGTTAATTCGTTCCAGCAAAATCGCTGTAGAACGGAAACGTCGTAAAGCGAAAATAAAAAAGCCATTGAAACGCATTAAAACCTGGTTAATGCGTTCCAATCGGCTAAGAACTCTCCGTCCAGTGAAGATCCTCCATAGGGGCGGCCATTTTCGGGTGCCTTTGCAGCAAAAAAAGGCTCCTAAACACAACAGGGAGCCATTTTGAGCAGGTGGTGGCCATTTTGAAAACCCGACGATCAGCTGTTTTGATCATCGGGAAGCGAAAATCAATTCCCGAAACAGGGAACTGATCATCATGCAATGAAATTCCCCCAGTCAAAACATCGTTCAATCGCAAAAAACTCTTCATAATGCGGATTCATCGTTAAACGGAGCGCCCGTCTTGTGAGGCACCACTGTAATAGTAATTTGAAGAAAAATCAGTTAAAACTACCTGAAGTTTCCAGGACCTCTTTCTTTTTGGCATTAGCTTTTGCATTTATGTCACAGGTAACATGGTAAAATGAGAACAGAATATGGTGTTTCCTGTGCAGCTGAGTAGGCAGCTCAATTTTCACCTGAAATGCAAAATGTCAACACATAGGTCTCTTAAGCTTAAATGGATGTAAATACATAATAGTAACAGAAGGTCTTTAGGGTTGGATCATGTTCTTAAATATAGTATTCCTGCTTGAATGAATCCCTGAGATCTGATATGCACCTTTTCAAAAAGCTGCTCCAGATCATCTTTAGCACATAAGATACGTGCAAAGGATATGAGTATAAGATAGTTACTGATTTCTGCTACTTTGTGATAGACCAACCACTACTTATGATCACATGAGTCAGTCAGTCAATCCATATTAAGCATTAAAAAAGAAAACCATCAAAACAAATAGTTGTTGTGGGTTTTCCAGGCTGTTTGGCCATGTTATTAAGGTTTTTCTTCCTAACGTTTCGCCAGTCTCTGTGGCTGGCATCTTCAGAGGACAGGAGCCAGAGCACAGACAGAACACGGCCAAATAGCCTGGAAAACCCACAACAACCATCGGATGCCAGCCATGAAAGCCTTTGAGAATATATCAAAACAAATTTTGCCATAAGATCTAACCATGTTTTGAACTATTTCCAACGGTGAGTGTGCTCACTTACCCATTCCAACACAACTGAAAAACTGTTGCTTCACAATGACATTAGCAATGTTGGGTTTTAGCATAACAAAACAGGATGAAAGTGAAATGGGATACAGAAAATAACAACTACATATCAACATTTGTTTTAAGCTTCCTAAGTGCTGATTACTATGAACTTCCTGGTAATAAATAAAATCATTAACTAATGATTGACAGGATGTTCGGTAGTTAATTGCCTTCGAAGCAATGAGTTCAGCTTTTAGGAAAGCATAAAACTAATCCACTGCCTTAGTAAATTCAGCTGCATCCAGAGGTTTACAGAAGTCTATTAATTATAACAGTGGTACACAGAAAGAACAATCAAAGGAAGAATAGACCAACCTCATCATAAAAATCAGGGTTCTGAGAGTGATGTAGTACAGCTGTATATGCTGCTGATATAAACAGTGGTCCACCAGGTTTCCCATAGATGCACTGTGTGAAAAATCCAAAATATAGATTTTATGGTTTATATTATGAGCAACTGATTCATCAAAGCTTGGAAGGCTTTGTCAGGTTGAACTCTCCCAACATGTACCAGAAGCTCTGGTCATTTGTGAGATGTTGAAGACGACCACAAACGACATGAGGGGATGTGATCCAGAGGTCTATGATCCTGGTTCTCCAAGTGTAAGGGGCTTGAGATTTGCCTCTTTCTTCAACAGCAGTCTCACATGCAACCTGACAGATTTTTGAAATAAAGGAGAGATCCACACCCTGTCACAAAGGCCAGATGTTCAGAACAATTCAAAAATTGCACAAAATGTATAGAAGTCCCTGGGTTACTCTTAATCACCTTTTAAAAAATCCCAACCACTGATATCAATGAAGGGTAATTCTCACAAGAAAAGGCAGCCTAACACAGTCGACAGATAGCAAATTGCATTCATCATTCACTCCACCTGCATTAGCTCACATTTTTACGGGAGGGAGATCAATACAGGTCAACCTCATATCATCCAGACTGCCCACTACTATTATAAAGCATGTCTGTTAAAAAAGAAAAAAAAATCCTTCTGCATAGCAGAATTGTCCTACACATCCATGTTCATTTATTTTTGTTATTATAAAGGATCACTGGGGAAACATAAAAGATATATCAGACTAACAGCATCTTGAAAGGAACTGAATTAGGATGGCCACAATTGTAGACTTTCTACAGAAATCGCTTTCGACATATTACATTTTAAATGAGATGCATCATTGCTCACCTTTACAGGTGTGGCTCCTTCTTCATCTGAGCTTTTAAATTCAATACACACTGTTATATTCCGTGCCTGTTAACAGAAGGTGCAAATGGAAGTCATTAGCTCATGTAACTGCATGCAGATTAAACATGCGTATATTGTATATTGACAGATATTGTTTCAAACCTGGCACTGTGGCTGCCAAGTTGTGAGTGAATCACAACAGTTCTTTGAAGCCATAGAATAATTCAGACAATATTTGATGTCACATGGGCTGCATTGTGTGAATAATACAGGAATTGTAATAATGCCTCGATAATGCATCGGTCACAACTGTGTGTGTGCATGTGTGTGGGAATTCTAGGAGGTTGGTCCAAAAAGATCTTGTCAGCTTCTAGCCTCATCTGTGTTACAATTTACACTCAGTACTCACAAATGTGCAAAGTGATCTTTAAGGTTAATTTTTCAATTTTTAAAGCTCTAAGACGGCAATCCTGTACTCATAAGACCATATACCTAGCTCTGCTCAATCCCAACATGGAAGTTTCCATGTTACTGTGTCTTTCTTTGAAAGTCTCCCTGATTTCAATAAAAGAATGTTCAGAATTACTCCTCATTCTAGTATACACCAGGAATGTCTATATTGCCACTAGCTGACATTTAAAAGATAGTACATTTTATTGAAAATATGAAATAAATGTAATGAGAAAGCGAGAAATGAAGGGGTGAGATAATTTACTGGGAAATTCTTGTGTATCCATCCAAAGGCAGTGAATACAACCAATAGGACTTACATTAGCATACGCATGTAGTGTTCAGAAAAAAACATAAATAAAAGTCTATACGTATAACAAATCAAAGACTGGTCAATTAATCTCCTATAACTGAGATGATTCAGCACAGTCCGGTCCCCTTGTGGACAAGAAGCAATCGAAAGCACCACATTTTTGCTAAAATCTTCCAAATGCTCCCTGAGTGCCTGCCCTCAAGGGGTTTGGTAAAGATATATATATAATAAAGAGTAAATCCCACTAAACCTAGTGATCCTTAGTTCTGAGTAAAAATACCACATATGGCTCTGTGAAGAATTGTTGGCATTCATACCTTGTTGAAGCATTTTTGGCTATCATATTTCAGATGTTTGGGGTAGATATATATTTGGTTTTTATACACTCTGTAAATCTGAGAGTACTTTGTAGATTCTTCAACAAATTCCTCTACTTCTACTGTTGGTTCACACTCTTTGAAATCATTAAAAGGCTTGATTGGAATGAAAGATGATGTTACACAATCTTGAAAGAGATAAAAGGGAAATAAAACAAGTATTCAGTCTTAATGTTTTCATTTTTCAGAATTACAGATTGCCATCTAGAAGATTCTAGAGCAATTTTTATTCACCCCCACCAACCTAAACAATTATTTCACTCAATGATTAATCAACCAACCCCTTCCTCTTTCAGCTTGCAATTCCATCTTGTCCTGTAGGGACATTCCACATTGAGAATAGAGTACAGAAGGTAGGATGGGCTTCAAGGAGAAAGGAGGAAAGCTGAAAACACCCCTTTCCATTTTGTTAATGGATGAGCCCCATCAATAGATGATGTCTTCCAATGTCTCTCACCCTTTAAAATCTATCCTTAGAAGTCTATGCAGCAACCAGCATAATTTTGTCTGGGTTGTGTTACTTGCATTGAAACATTGTGTTAAACAGACTCAATTTCTTCATTGTCAGATATAATTGGCAACCAATTCAACCAATACCACATTTATTTATTCAGAAAATGAGAGATTTTTTTAAAAACTGTTTCAGGCAATCAAAATGAGGTTTGCTGTTTCCACACAATCCAGTCCACATAATTAAATATAATTTATGTCTTAAATAACATTTGCATATTTTGGTACATTGAAACATCACATTTAGTATATTCAATTAACAGAAATGATCTCATATTATCTCATGTGATTTTTAAAGAAATCATACCATTATTTTTCATAAAACATCTACCTTCAGTTAGGACTACAGTCCCAAATAGAGATGGGCACAAACATAGGTCCAGATATTTATGCTTGTTCATACATGTGGCACCACAGGTGTAGTGTGTTCTATTCCTCGCTTCCCAGGCTGGATATCCCACTCACCAGCCAGCGCATGCACCTCTCCTCCTCCTCGTAGGTTGTTTAACTAGTCTCTGGCAGGAGCATGGGCTTCCCTGCCTCGCCTCCTATACTGGTCGCCCACTTAGACAAGGAGGCAGGACAGGCTGAATCATCCCGCTGGGGACTGATCGGACACCTGAAGAGGAGCGCACACTGACTAGTGGGTGGGTTGTTGGTCAAGGTGGTGGGAGAACTGAGGTTCATGTCCATCTTTAGTCCCAAACAAATAAAACTCTAAAGAATGTACAGTCACAGCTAATCAGGGTGTAAGCATGTACAATCCACAAATGAGTGCTTCACAAATCTCAAGAAAATGGCAAAGAAGGAAATGTGTGCTTCCTCTGCATGATTTCAGAGCTCAGATCAAGGATGGGCAGATAGTCTACTTCTTGCATAAAAGGAATAACCATCTTTTCCAGCACAGAATATTCACAAGTATACAGGGAAGATGCAGAAATTTTTTTATGCTTCCTTTCTTTGCCATTTCTGCAGAAGGTTCCCTGCAAATCAATTTTTCCCTGCCTGCTTAATTAGTACAAAACTTCCCAACAATTACAAAATGGAACCATACTTGGGTGCTCCAAAGGTACACAATCAACTGTGATTTCTAAACTGCCAGGGATGATTTGAATTTTATTAATCTTCTCTGCTCTGCAAATACAGAAAGGAAACATTTTAGATTAGCAACATCACCTACAGGTATAGACCAAACTAAAATGTAATCAATGATTATAATTGTGAATTAAAAATAATAATAAAACAAAATGTTAAATTTTATTGAGATGAACAAAAATAATAAGATTTAGAAGTTTTACTGAGCCATCAAAACACCACAAAACAACATACTCAGTCAAACTGAAGAGTGGTAGCTGATGGGAGGAAAACATTACTTAATTTCATTTATTCTGTTCATCAGCAATCACCATTGTAATAAAAGAAGAAATGACTCTGGGCACCGTTTCTTCATTGCTACTTTACATGTATCAACAGAAAATGATGAAGAGGAGGGAGGTGTACATTCTGTCTATATGGCATTATTCTATGTTTGGAATCATCCGAAGGACAGTTAAGTCTTATTAAACAGAGATTTAATGAATGCTCACTAAATCTTGATTCCCCTCTCCCGCCCTTTAGACTGTCTCATACTAATGAAACATCTTTATTTGAGAAGCCACCTCAGCAAGGAAATTTTTAAGCCCAGGGGTTTTCTCACCTCCTAGGTAAAGCAAGACAAGGAGTGTTATTCTTCCTTGTGAAGGCTCCATAACTTGTACAAATTGTCTGTGAAAGCAAATATGACAGACAAATGGCTAATTATTAAGAGACATAAGCAACTCTTGCAATGTCTCTAAAAAGTCTGTCCTTAGAAGTGTATTCAGCAACCATCATCATTTTGCCTGAGTTTTGTTATTTGTGTTAAAGCATTATATTGTTAAATTGTTATTTTGCTAAATTTGCACAGAATATCCTTTTTGTTTTCTTCACTTGTCAAGAGTGCAACAAAATACCTCGCCCTCTTGTAGGGCAAGAAGAATAATTTTGTAGTTCCTTCTCCTGGCCTGTAAGGAGGAGAGAAGTGAGGATTTACATCCTTATTTTAACTATACAGAACAAACCTTAGGAAGGCAGAATTATCTTGGTTTCTGTAAAGACCATTGTCTTCAACCACACTTAAACTTAATCTAGCCACTAGACTCTTTGCTCTTGGGTCAGGAAGAACCCTACCTAAGATCTGAATTTAAGACTCTGGCAGTGAACTGCTTACAAGTTTCAGCAAGCATCTATATGGAACTGTCTAAGCCAGCGTTCAAAAGACAGCATAAAAGGCTTTCTTCATTAAACTCTTATGTACTTAAGCAAGTACATAAATGGGATAACCGTGAAGAGCAGAAAAAGACTCTTAAAGAAATCAACCAGTTGACTGTACAGTGGTGCCCCGCATAGCGAGGTTTCGCTATGGGGAAACATCGCTAAACGGAACGTTCCAAATGGGCCCAAAACTCACCGTTCTGCGATGTTTCCCCATGTTCCGGCAGCCATTTTGGGTGTTCCAGTGGCCATTTTGGGTGTTCCGGCAGCCATTTTGGAACCACCGAACAGCTGTTCCCCCATCGCAATGCGATAAAACATCGGTATGCGATCGCATTAGCGATCACAAAATCCGCATCGCTATGCAGATTCATCGTTAAACAGTGCGCTCGTTATGTGAGGCACCACTGTGCTCTCAGTATAGAAGTTGCATTTAGTCAATACCATGAAACTGCATGCCATGAAATGTATTTATATATACTATACTTAATTCTCATATCTCTTAAGATTTGTCATTACTTCCACTGAAACTCAATCCATGCAGCACTGTAATCAAGTGGCAGCAAATTTGGTTACAGTATCAAACACTATGCTAGTTTTCCTGGAGAGCTTTATCTGAAGCTCAGCTTTGGCAGAATAATATGAAAACCATCCCTTGTAATATGATTATTTTGGGACTAGTTTCTTTTGTGCAACTGATGTCGTTAAGCCATTAATGCAAACAAGTCAATATTTTGCTGTAGGTCTATACAAACAAACAAATATTTCTTACCTTCTGTATTCTGTTACTAGTTTAATAAGGTCCTCGGCTGAAATTTTGCTACTTTCTTGTCTGAACAAGGGTGAGAATCGTGAGTCTCTGTCAATATTTCCCTGATTATCCTTAAAGACTGGTCTAAAATGAAGAGAGGACAATGCATGATTTTAGAATCAGTTGATTACTTATTAACTTCCCAAATAATTATTCTTGAAGCCATGAGACAACTGGGAAGAATGCTGAACTTCTACCTTAAGCCAACTTTCAATATGTTTATCAATCCTTCGAACCATTATCTTGATCATGTCAGCAGGCCTGGTCAGAGCAACATACCATTCTTCAACCAGAGATTCAACAGGAGTGCAACCAGACCAGCCAGTACCCCCATGCATTGCTTCTTGGAAACCAATAGCCTGTGGGGGCAAACCATCTTAATGGGCCCCATTTCCCCATGGGAGGGGAATTGCCACTGAGAGTCTTGGGTATAGCCATAGACAAAAAGTTATTCTTCTTCAATAATTCTCATCTCAGTCCAATTTCCTGAAATTATTCATCAACATTTCATCAGATAGTAACCTACTATTAGTATCAACTGGCATACAAGCTGATTGTCTCAACTACTAATAGGATGCCTTTGTAATCAATATTCTGAATTTCATGACTGATGTTACTAACACCATTCTCACTTGAATGTTCATTAATATTTTAATAGGAACACTCTTTTTTTTCATTGTCATCTGGACCCTGCTCCATTACCATGTACTCTGTGTATATAAACTGTGGGATAACTCCATGACCAAAATCTTGTTGCACAGCTTTACCAGCACAATATCATTTGCTGATCTTTCTTCTTTCTTCTTTGTGTCAGAAGTACTACAGTACAATTGATAAACATATCATAAACCTTTGCCCAGTAACAGGAAATATCAAGAGCATTTGGAACAGCTAATATATGATCCTCCATAGTACATGTTGAGATATGTCAGTATATACTACTGTGAAGTTGCCTGTTCTTCTTTGCACTTGTAGAAAACTATGGTAGGTCCGTGCAAAAGCCCAATGTTTTTAGGCACTTCCGACTGAAGATTTAACTTTTGATTTCACTCAGTGCATCCTGCAATCTAGCCCATGTACCAGAGGACACTGATTATTGTCCATTAAGGCTCACATTGAAATAAATATGTTAATCTTAGAAGTGTCACAACACTGTTATTTTAATGTGTTCTCAAAGGCTTTCATGGCCAGGATCTGATGGTTGTTGTGGGTTTTTCAGGCTGTTTGGCCGTGTTCTGGAACATGGCCAAACAGCCTGAAAAACCCACAACAACCTACTTTTATTTTATTTTTCTACATAAAGTATTACTAAAGGTGATTCTATAATCTGTTTATCTGGGAATAAAACTCACTAAACACAAAAAGAATGACTTCTAAATAAACATTTGGAGAACCAAACTTTTCTTGGACACAACCTATATTACTAGGGAGTACCTCACTCTTTTTAGACGTTGCTTGACCGTCACTAGAAATCAGAGTCCAGCCAGACCTGAAGGATCACAATTTCCTCACTCCTGGTTTATTGTTTGTGTAAACTTGGTCCCCTTGTCCTAATCAATCAAAAGTGTTGACAGCAGGTCCACCCAGTACCTCATTGGTTGTTGTGGGTTTTTCAGGCTCTTTGGCCATGTTCTGAAGGTTGTTCTTCCTAACGTTTCGACAGTCTCTGTAGCTGGCATCTTCAGAGGACAGCACTCTGTGCTCTTCAGAGTGCTGTCCCCTGAAGATACCGGCCACAGAGACTGGTGAAACATTAGGAAGAACAACCTTCAGAACACGTCCAAAGAACCCGAAAAACCCACAACAATTATTAGATCCTGGCCATGAAAGCCTTCGCAAATACAATACCTCATTTATTTCTGTACTTACATATTCTGAAAATCCCTAGGACACAACTTTAAGATAGCTTTGTAGGAGCCACTTAGTTTTCTTTTCCGAAAACCTGAGGTTCACCAACTGGAAATGATGCAAAACAGTGGCTGAGGCAGAATAATCAGCATATTGCAGCATCAACTGCCTACTTCATGCCATGGATCATCATAAATGGGAAGGCTGAGCTCATAGTCTTTTTCATGTGAAAAATCCAATCCTAATTTTCTTCTAAGGTTCTGTTAGTCTTGTCCATGATTTATCATGACACTGAAAGTGATGTTATGGGAAAATTCTTTGACAGATAAGTAAAATGCCCCATTTGGGGAATTTGTGACCTGATTTCTTGGGCTAAATCTAACTGTTTTCCCAGCAGGAGCACACCAAGTTAATGAATGAGACTTACTAAGTCAACAGCTATGTAACTCCCACTGACTGAAATCCTGTTGCTTAGCATTAAAAGTTGCACTAAAGCAGACTCACTGGATCAGTGGGGATTTGGTGAATCATCTCCTCCCTAAGTTAATTCAAATGAGCCTAGTCTAGTTGCAACTTACTATGCAAAATAAGTCACAATGCAAATACATCCATTTAAATCAATAGGGCTTTTGGAGGAGTTAACTTATCCAATCCCAACTGTTTTAGTGGGCTCTGAGCCTACTCTAGTGCAATTTACTGGCCTAAACAATATTCAGCCACTGATTCAATGGTTCTGCATGAGGTAGTATTCACAATTGGATTTAGTCATTCATAATTTAGTTTTGAACTCTCACTTATAACTACAGTATATAGGTCCAAATCATCTACCAGTGCCTGGAGAGATATACATAAACCATAAATGACATTCTATTATTATGAGTTCAACCACAAAAGATACTCTGTTTTTGCAAGTTCTTAAAACAATCTGCAGCTTGGGTCCTAAAATTGTTTGTATGAGAATAATAGAATGGAAGAGAAAAGGATATATGGAAAATATTTTGTGGGGAAAGAAGTCTTCCAAGTACAAATCATATTTCCACACTCTGGCAGCTGTGGTAGGAATATGAGAATGGGAGACTGACTTGTCACTTTGTAATTCCAATGCATGCTGTAATTATTGTCTCTTGGGAAAGGATACGGGGCAGCAGCCCAAAGTCCTGGGCACATAAATGTCTCTAAACACACAAGAAGGGCAGTTCCAGCAACAAGACTGAGGAATTGTCCCATTTGGGGTGAGCTGAAAATTTGTAAAAATTACATTAAAGCTGTCTGTCTCTGTTTTAAATTATAACAGTAAAAACACACTGAATTGGAGCAGTAATGCCAGAATTTAAAGAAATGGAAAGCATATTTACAGTCCAAGGTTTCTGTTTTCTATCATTTTTACTGCTGAGCCTTGTATGTGCCTAGTGGAAATACCTATTTATAGAGACTTAAGAGTTACTAGGGCAAATTCTTCTTCATTATTTTGAATCTAGAATAAATCCATGCATTAGAGAGTATCTACTTCAAATATATGGATGAAGTATTGATCTGCACATGTTAAATATTGAAGCTATCCTGTTTTCCAGAGTTGGAAGCTGTTATTTTTGAGACTATAATTAGCAGCAATAGTCTAAAAAGGTATTTTTTTTCTAACCACTGCTATGTCCCAATTCAAACACATTCTTTGCAGTTTGTGGGGTGTCTCCATACAACTTGACTCGTGTCTAGAAACACATGAGAACAAGAAGAACTTAGCAAGAAGCATGGGAGATGTCATCAATCTGCATCAAACTCACTGGACTTCTCTGCAGGATTTATTTTTTAAAATAGTTAATATGTGATGTTTCCACAGGTCTTTTACAGCTGCTCAAGCGTAAGAAATAAAAGAGTATCGAAAGGAATTGCATATACACATACAAGCACATGTCTTTGTCATCAAAGGTACAAAAATAACATAGCTGAAGACATGAGAAGCAGCATTAATTATCCTGCTCCAAATTCCAGGGTTTTTCTAGTAATTCAAGCCGCTGCTACTACCAATATTCCACTGCTATATTCAGTCATGAACATCCAATTCTTATTTCTTACTCAAAAGAGTAATAATTAGGAAAAAAGGAACTCAGAAGGTGCTACTCAAATTACATCACAAAAATAGCAAATTGGATGTAGGGGTATGAGAAACTGCTGAAATTCACAATTACATACCGTACAGACCAAGCAAAGGGCATCCGATATTTTCCCAACTTGCTGCAGAACTGTTTGTTGGATTTTAATACTTTCTGGGCCCACTAGGCAAAAATAAACAATTAATTCCGTGAAGAACACAACCACAAATCTCATTAACCCTAAATATTATCTCCTTAAAAATATTATTCCCATCCCAGAAGCGAATGGTATCAACAATGTTATCATAAACCATCTGTGTTTTCTACAACTGTTGGACCATCATAGTGTTGGATGTTAGAGACCACTTCCTTGCTTAATGCAGGAAGATCACATTAAAGTATCCACAGTGGATACAGGTTTACTATCAGCCTCAAGACTTTGAGCTCAGTAGAGTCCAAGCACCCTACAAGGCAGTAGGAGAATGCCCAACATGGTCATCCATACATTTTGGTTTGATTGCATGGAAGAATATAGTTTGATGACAGAAAAAAGGAAATTTCCAAACTCAACATGCATATCTAAACAGCGGAAACTGATTGGTCACAGGATCTCTCATTTCCAATACAAATAATTAAAGTACTCATTAAAAACAATTCTTCTATTCTCATGGTGCTATTCTCTGATAATATGGTGAATAATTCACTATCTGTTGTGCATTTTATAGGTATTAAACATATTATTTATCTCATTGTTTTTTAGATTTTTTTTCTAACACTCAGATGCATGGACATATGTAGCAAAATATTACAGATTACTGCATCTAGACACTTACGTGTGTGTGTTTTTACAAAACATGATATATGGCTGAAGATTTTTCGAAGCTATAGAGCATAAAAGTTTACTTTTCCAATGTCTACTTTTCCAATATAAGTGCAATTAGCAGAAACATGCTATTTATATTTATTTATATAACCTTTGCACAACTAGAAATCAGCCATAGATATACAGATTGCTAAAGCAGCCTCCTTTGATGTTTTTGTACTTCAGTACTCCACTTTACACCCAGAATGTGAAAGCCATTGAATCTTCCACCAACATTACCTTGTTGGAGTCCGGATTCCTTATGTAAGGTTCTGCACTGGCAGCAATATTTCCCATGAGCACCTTTTCAATTTTTGCCACCAGAACAATTTCTGAATGAGGGTTGCTTATGGAAAAAACTGCCTGGAGATTTAAAAGAAAATTCAGTAAAGAAGGCAGCAATGCAGATATGAAACAGAAACTAAACATCATAATTTTTTTTCCAATCCAGGACTTCCAGGGACAGAGGTGTTCTTTGCCTGACTTCACCGAACTGGCTTTGCCATCTTCAAAACTATCTCAGATCAGCATAAAGCATTCTGTTATATCTCTTTATAGGATATGATTAAATGAAGTGATCTTAAATAACAATAATAAGCATAATCATGTGCTGACAAGTCATTTCTGACCAATGGCACCATTTTTAGGTTTTTTTAGATAGAGTTTACCATTCCAATCTTATGGGGCCACCTAATCATGTGCTGACAAGTCATTTCTGACCGATGGGACCATTTTTAGGTTTTTTTAGATAGAGAATACTCTTAAGTAGCTTACCATTCCAATCTTATGGGGCCACCCAACCTGGCTCCACTCACAGGAGGCACAGTGGCGAATCAAATCCCCAGTTTCTGGCTCCACGCTTGGATTCCTAAACCACCACACTACCCAGTTGAGTGGGGAATCAAATCCCCAGCCTCTGGCTTCACAGTTGGATTCCTAAATCACCACACTACCCAGTTAGTCTGAAGTGTCCTTAGGGAGACACACAATAGCTTGCTCTGTGTTGAGGCTGCCTGTTACATTTCTATGTCAACAATTTCTTTTGGCTTTTTCAGTCAGGAATATTGCTATACCCCATTCCCTTAACACAGGAGATTTGTTACCCAAAACTAAATATTAATTAGCTGTGTGAACCGGTATCAACACCATGCCATTTTGTGGATATGTTGTTGTTCTTATTTTGTTTTCATGTTCAAAAAGCAAATGCATATGAAAATGCAACAAGTCCTCTGTGGATATGGAGAACCTAATAGTGAAAGCTACAGAGAGAGAGAGCATGGAACCAGAAACAAACAAACAAAACCAGGAAAAATTATTTTCACATGCATTATCAGACCTGGCCATGAAAGGGGACCAGAGACTATGCTATGTATTCTTCACTACAAAGTACAGTGTACTGTGTTTCCCCAAAAATAAGACAAGGGGCTTATATTGAATTTTGCTCCAAGAAATGCATTAGGTCATATTTTCAGGGGATGTTTTATTTTTTTAAATGTAAAACAATCTACATTTATTTATTCAAATACAGTCATGTCATCTTCTAGTTGCTACACAATGGTTGAGTTTTCACTTAACTAGGGCTTATTTTTGGGGTAGGGCTTATATTATGAGCATCCTGAAAAATCGTACTAGGGCTTATTTTCAAGTTAGGTCTTATTTTCAGGAAACAGGGTATTAATGGTGGCCATTCCTGGTAACGTATGTGAAAATAGCTTTTTCTGGATTTTAAAAAACATTTTAAACATTTTCAGACTTTCGATAAGTGAATCAGTGGATAGTGATCCCGCGCATAAGGGGGTCCTACTGTAATCAAATTTTACGTACAGTGGGGTCTTGACTTAAGAACGGCTCGAGTTAAGAACATTTTGACTTAAGAACCGCTCTCATAGGAAAATATTGACTTGACTTACATACTTAGATTTGAGTTAAGAACTGAACAAAACCCACGTGGGAGGCAGGGAAAGTGCAAAATGTGAACTTTCAGTTAACTGTTGGCCAGTGAAAAGGGTGCCTGTCTGTCTCAAGTCAAGACCCCACTGTACCTGTTTTGGGTATTTCAGCCATTCCTCTGGAAATCCTTTGATTTGTGGTTCTTCTTCTTTGGTGCCAGCAGTTCCAATAGTTCCATTTTCTAACGAGGGTGAAGAATGTGCTATCATCTGTCTAACAACGGTATGATTTAGGTCCACATGGAAATCAGCAGACAGCTTCCGGTTGTCTCTTATATCATAAAGAGCCACACTCACAAAAAAGGGCTCAATCTGGAAGCAAAAAAGAACAAAACACAGGATGCCGCGTTACAAGTGAAATGCTACACATCTCCACTCATTAGAATATGCAAATAACTTCAGTGGGATTTACTCCCAGACATATATGATTGGCAGCTTGGGGACAGCATGTTATGCATATGCCATTGAGAGCAATGAGTCATAATTTCTGTACAGAATTAAGAGGTATTCTGCATAAGACCAAACTGCTAATCGATTCAATAGGTAGATCAATCAAAGTTTTACATGATTAATGGAAGGACATCAGCTTTAATTAGCAAATTTTAACTTTTAATGATCATTAAAGAGTAAAGAGACACTTTTGAAGAGATTATTTTGGTGATGGGATAGTTAAAGAAAATATTAACAACGGCCTTTCCTTTTGACAACTGAGTAGTGTGACTGTTAGCTTAGAAAAAGTACAAGCTCATCCGTCCTCCAACATTTCAGAAAGGAATCTGTGTTGCAGGTTTGATAATCGACACATTAATTGTTGGTAACTGACACATTAATTAATTGTGTAATGTATATATACCGGATGAACAAAAGAAAATTACAAAACACTAGTTCATGAAATTTGGTTGGCATAGGTAACAGAATGAGAATCCGGAAATGATAAAAGAAGATTGAAGCATTTTAGATAATAGGCATAATAATAATAATAATAATAATAATAATAATAATAATAATAATAATAATAATA